AAAAAAAAAAAAAAAAAGATGAGCCTTTTTCTAGCGCCTGCCATGTGGTAGGCATTGGGAACACAAATATGCCTTAGATCTGGCTCCTCTGGGGAAGACTAATGGTCTGGAGAGGAAGGCAGGCCTGGAAGCTGTTTGAGTAACACATGGTAAGATGCATGAAGCACATGTGCACAGGATGCTGTGGAAGAGAATGTAGCTCACCTGGGGGTTCAGGGCAGCCCTCCGGGGGCAGGGACCTCGATCTAAACTGAACTTGCCAGGTGAAGAGAGGTGTAAAGAGAATTCTAGGCAAATGTTTGTTCTGCAGATTATTGAGTGCCTACTATGTGCCAGGTGCTGAAAAGTACAGAAAAGCATGGGAGGCCTAAAACGAGAGTGTGAGTGTCATTTCTAAAGCTGCGAACAATTTAATCTTTCTACATAATTGCTTTCTGGGAAATGACAGGAGATGAAGCTGACGAGGTAAACTGGTAATAAAAATATTTTGTCTTTATTGTTTTATTTATTGACTGCTCACAAAATGCAGGGTTTTGTGTAAGCATCTTACCTACGTTTTTTCATTTTAGCTTCAAAACAGCCCTCTGAGGTATGGACTGTAATTATTTCTGCTTTATTAATGGAGTTGAGGCATTCAGAGGAGTTGACTAACCTGTACAAGGTCACACAGCTATTAAGTGGTAGAGCCAGGATTTGAACCCACATCAGTTGGCTCCAAAGCCCATGCAATTAACTAGTTGGCTGGACAGTGAAGAGTCATAATGTTGGCGCTCACAAGCCACATGAAGAACTTGCGGTTTCTTTTCAGAGGTGAAAGGGAACCAGAGAAAGGTGTATTGAGCAGGAGAGTAGCATGGTGAAAGGTGAACCAGATGCCTTTCCTCAGGAGCTACTTTATCTCCTCTTCCTCTTGCCCCTGCCTCCTCATAAGCCCCCAGAGGTCCCCACACCCAGCCAGGCTCCGCCTGCCAGAGCTCCTGAGTGCCAAAATGGCCTCACGCCTGGGATATGTGGTCCGTGCTGCAGATCAGTGTTAACTTCCACAGGGAGGATGTAACCCCCTTGGAAACATTGTAAAATTCTCAGGAGTTAAGCTCTTTGGGTCTTCTTTGTATCTTTTCCTTGCAAGAGTATTTTGCTGTTCCTCTGAGAAGATCAAAAGAGAGCTTTTGGGTGGCTTGTGAGGGGGAGAAGAGGATTTGTGTTTGATCCGAAGTTTCTGCTCACCCTGTATAAGCCTGCTCCTCACCAGTGTAACCTTCCATTGCACATCTTCTCACCGAGAAGTCTCAAGAAACCTAATGCCACTGGAAAATGTTAGAAACACCCTCTGTGCTGGAGCCATGAAAAGTTTCTCTCTGGGCTCTCTACCCATCTCCCAGCTGCCAGCCTGCCCTGGCTGCGGAGGGAAGCAGGCGGGGCCATCTGGAGCTGCAAGGGTGGGTTCCTGGAGGGCCTGTCGGATTGAGCCGTCTGGACATCCCTGCTCCTCCTCCTGACCAAGCTGGTGGCCTTTGGGAAGTGCATGTAAAACCCTTAGAGAAGGACTTATTTTGTGGATCTGGATACAGGCGATGATAATAAAGCCAGTATTTATTGAGGCACTGAACACGTTCTGGAGGTCCATGTTTGATCCTCGGTAATACTCTGAGGTTGGTGGTACTGTTTCTATGCACACCTCAGCAGCCCATATTATAAATGAGAAAACTGAGGTTTAAGAAGGCCAAGTAAGTTGCCCATGGTCACTAGGTCTGTACATGACAACACTGGGAGACCTTGCCTCCACAGCCTGACCACTTATCTTCTGTGACTCCCACTGGTGTGGAGCCCTCCGATTCACACAGCCCTTTCTGCTTTTCATCCTCACCAGAGCCTCAGGTGATGGGCAGCACGGATGTAAGTTACTCCACTTTACAAATGAGGAAACTGAGATTCAGGAAGCTAACAATGGGCCTAAGATCCAGGGCTAGGAAACTGAGCAGGCTGAGGACCAGATCCTGGGTCCTCCTCATCCATTCCTCTCCCCACCCCACTCTCCAACCTCTGGGATTGGCTTCCTGTCCTCCAGAGATGGGTGTTTATACCTGTGAGCGTGACTGGAGAGAGGCCTTCTCATTTGCTTCAGGTGTTGTGGCCAGTAGAGGCCACCAGAGCATTCACGCACTCTCCCCCACCCACACTCCACACCACGGTTAACAGGAAAGGGGTCCCCTCGTCTCAGAATGGGGACCCTGGGGAACCAGTCTTCTGAAGGGCAAGGGCAGCCTGTTTTTCCTGGGAGGGCCAGCTCTTACGGCACACAAGAGCTGATTATTAAATTTTCAGGTATTTTATGAGCTGTTTATTAAGCAACCGTTAAAAAAACTATATAAACCTACAATTGAATAAATTATGTTAAAAACAAAGGTAATAAATACTCAAAACTGACCATTTCCTAATTATTTGACTACATGTTACTATTATCTATGCCCTGGAGGTTATTTACATTTATATATGGTAGGAATACCACATCATGGTATTTACTATATAATATGGTAAATAACGTATAATGCTACTGTGCATCTCTTCCCAACTCTGTGTTTAGTGACATCACATTAGTGGCTTGAAATTGGTCACGATGGGAGTTTTTACATCACAGTAATTGGCAAACAGTACAAATCAGGGCTGTTACCCCCCATCAGAGAACTGGTTGTTCAACGTTTATTTGCCATCACACCACTAGATAAGGGCAGTATGAGGCTTGAAAGGTGACTGTGGGATCTTGGCAAAGACCTTCCAGCTTTGCCAAAGATCTGGGCTTCCTTCTGCATAAGGAGATAGAGTCTATTTATCGCTGGACTGATTAGCCAAGTGATTTAGAGCATTTGATTCAGCCTTCTTGTGTGTCTAACCTTCTACTTGTCAGGTGCTGATGTGCAGGATAAAGAACGTGAGAAGGCTCAGTGTTGAACTCCAGAGATATAGAGGTGGACAGAGTCCCTGGGGGATACCACACCCATTTTAAGCCCGGGTATATGCTCAGATGCACATGGGATTCAGTACCAAGGAACAAGCTGACTGCTAAAAGGGGACAACCATGGTGGGCTGGGAGCTGTGAGATATGTCCTGGAGGAGGGCGTTCACTCTGAGCCTCAGGGTGGGACGATTTAGGCCAGTAGGAAGAGGCCTTCCAGGCAGAGGAAGGGCAGTTTGGGCAGGAGTCAGAGTTCATGAGGTCATTTCCTGAAAGGACACTCAGCTTTGTACTCTCCCTGGCCAGACACCCAAGAGCCCTTCTGCACAGACATAGGAGACAGGTGGGAGAGCATGGCTGGCTCCTCATCCTGCATCATTGAAACCTTGGGTTCTAGTCCCAGCCCTGCTGCTAAGTAGCTGTGTGACTTAACGGTAAGTCACCTTCACTGCCCCCCTCCCCCACCGCCCCACTGACCCTCAGTTTCCTCATCTTCAAAATGAAGGGTTAGTCTCTCATTTCCCTGCCATTCAATGATCTGATTCAGTAGTTAGAGAATGGATGTTTCCATCCCGGTTAGACTCACCTACTGCTTCTGCAGGAGACGCAGGCCTTCCGCTAGTTGTTTATCTGTTCATCACTAGCCTGCAAAATGCCTTTCAAATTCTGAGCAAATTTGGAATACTTAACTCTCCTCCAGCCAATCTGCTCCTCTCCGCTCTGAGCTGAGAGTAGCTTGGCTTGAGTCTAGCAGCTAGCTGCTGGGGGTAGAGGAACCTGGGAGAGGGAGGGGGCCACCTCCAGTTTAACCCTTCCCCAACAGCTCACTGTCCTGTCACCATCTCTCCAGGCTGCTTGTGATGGGGGCTGGGGTCAGCCACAGCTGCCCCACAAACTCTCCTATGGGCTCCTTAGCAAGACCCTGGGATCACTGGCCAGTGAAAGACTGATTTGGGGGGACAGTAGGGAATGGTCTACTGTCACTGGATTAACAAAGCTTTTTGAAGGAAGAAGGTGCTGCTGTAATGGAAAACCTTGTCCCTCCCTCCTTGCAGGGCCTCCCTTGATTTCTTCTTTCTGAAAACTTGGCCAGGCAGGGCCTCAGCCTTGCCCTGCTGACCTTTCCAGAGCCCTTCTCCAGTCAGAGGGGAAGGACTGGATTGTTGATGATCTGACCCTGGTCTAGCTGGCGCCAGGGAGCTGGGGTCGGGGCCTCCCTCTAGGCTAGAGGACAAGGATCGGTTTCTCCCAGGGTGTCTCGGGACAAGTCTGGCTTCCGTTTTCTAGTGAGGCATTTACAGACTTCTGGGGTTTTTGGAGTGGGGAGCAGGGGCAGGGCCCAGGGGCTTCAGCAGAAGGCCGCTGTGGATGCTCTTTCCTGGCAGTGTTTACCCCGGACAGCGCGAGGAAAAGGAGACCTCTCAGTCTTTGGGGACCAAGACCAGAAGGACGGGCAGTGGTAGATTGAGTTTGTGGATTACACACTTTTCCAAAGTCAAACCTTTGAGGTACATGCAGTGATGCCTGTTTGAATGAAAGCAAACAAGATCTGTTGCTCTCCTCTCAGAATATAAACTCGGTCCTATACTTCTCGCCGTCTCCACTGCTGTCGCCAGCATGTAGGCCGCCATCATCTTGCTCTCCTAGACCAGCCCAACAGCCTCCTAACTGTTCTCCCTGCCTCCACTCTCATCCCTCTACAGACCAGTCTCCACTCAGCAACTAGGGTGATCTTTTAAAAATATAAAGCACACCTTTCTACTTACGTGTTGAAAATCCTCCAGTGACTTCCTCTCATACTTGGAATAAAAACCTAAACTCCATCCTGATACTTACAAAGGCCCCATGGGACCTGGCCCCTGTCTCCTGCTCTGACCTCATCAGGGGCCACTCTCCCCTTCATCCGCTCTGCTTCAGCCACACTGGCCTCTCCCCGCTTGAGCCCTTCTCGCCTGCCGCTCCCTCAGCCTGGGACGCTTTTCCCCAGGTCTTCACACCTTCCCTGACCGCTGTGTACACCTCTGCTGTTCTCTTCTCACATTGCCATCACCCAAAGGAACTGACTTCAAAGCACGTAAGAGTCTCTAAAATCATTATTTGTTTGTCAGCCCTCACTAGAATGTAAGCTTCATGAGACCAGGGAGCTCGAGTGTCCAGGCACAGTGAGTAGCACATAGTAGATGCTCAATAAAATGTTGAAATAATGAAAGAACAAATGAATAAATGAGTGAGCTGCTCAGGGGCCTTCTGAAGAAAAACAATTTAGTTTATGTCACTGCCAGGGCTGCAGGCTGGGAAAGAAGGCAGAGTGGGCTGGGGGAAGGGAGGAGTGGTGGGGGAGGGTGGAGTAGCACCTCTGATTCTGTGCTGTGGGCCACACAGGGTGGAGTTGGGGCGGGGCTAGGTACAACCTCTAGGTGCTACTCTCAGCCTGGGCTTCCCTCCAGGCCTGGCGCACGGTGATCTTCACCTTGAAAGATTCAATCAGAAAGACCATCGTGGGGTTGCCCTCCAGGGAGGGCAGCTGCCCATCATCCGGGAGCTCCAGGTCGAACCTCTGCAGCAACCAGGCCATGAAGAGGAAGAGCTCCTGGCGGGCCAGGATCTCACCTATGCAGGAGCGGGGTCCCGCTCCAAAGGGCAAGTAGCTTAAGGACGGCGAGATGAGCTGGCTCCCTGTTGGGTCCAAGAAACGCTCTGTGGACATGGGGAGACGTCAGCCAGTGGCCAGGGCAGGAGAAAGTCGAGGAGTGCTGCCTTCCTGATAGGGGGAGACACGGCCCTGCCTGGGGAGCCCCGGTCTGAGGAGGTGGACAGCCTTACTTGCGGGAACCCCAGCCTGAGGAGAGATACAGCCCTGCTCTCAGGTAGCCCGTGATCACACAGAGGAAATGGAATATTCAGGAAGGATGACAAGGAGGTGGTATTAACAGATGAAAATGCCACCATCTGTGGGGAGAGGGGACCAACTGAATGAGAGACATATGCCTAGAGGGCTTCTTGGAGGAGGAGATTTGCAGTTGGTGGGAGGAGAAAGTGAGAAACCCAGCTGTGAAGAGTTTGGGTGAGTCTAGGGTAGGTTGGGGGTGTCAGCAGGTCCAGGAGTTTTCTAGTAGCAAATGTGGCAGAGGGGAAGTGGTGCTGGAGTCCTGGAGCGCAGAGCCCAGGCTAGCTGGGCGGCTTGGGAGCAGGACAGAACAGGGACTCACCGGGCATGAACTGGTCAGGCTGGTGCCACTCCTTCTCGTTGTGATGCAGTGCCCACAAATTGATGATGACATTTGTGCCCTTGTCAACAGCAAACTCGCCGATGCTGCCCCAGAGAGGGAGAGATAAAGGGGGTCTGGAATATTGTCCTCCCCTACCTGCTCAGCCCCAAGCTCCACAGTTCCCCACCCTGGCGAAAAAGAGCTTTTTATTCCCTCATACCCACTCCCTCATCTTTTTCTCAGCTTCTGCCAGATGGAATATGAACCCAGCCCTCCTGCGGCCCTCTCTTCAGGACAAGCACTTATGTATCAACACTCGTGTGTGTGGACGTCCGTGTCTGTCAGGGCTCATGGGTATGCGTTATGAGCTGGTGCATATGTGTGTATGTTGTGGCTATTGGACTGAGGAGGAGCAGAGAGCACCTGGTTTTTCAGCCCAGACCACGTGTTTCCAAGCAGCAGGCAGCTTCTGAGGGAGGTCAGGTAGATCTGTGGATTAGTCAATGGCTGTCAGTGGGTGGTGGATACATTGATCAGTAGGGTTATGGGTAGGATGATTGGTAGTCAATGGTTGACTATAGGTTGACTAGCAAGCTGGGAAGGCAGGGTGGTGGAGGAGGCACCAGGTGGGCTGGCAAGCAGTGTTGAATGCATCATGGATCTTATGGGGAGGGAAGGCACACCTGGAGTCAACGATAGCCTTATGGGTGATGAGCATAGGGGCCACAGGCCGGATGCGAAGCACCTCTCGGATGGTGGCCTCCAGCAGAAGGAGGCGGTTCCGGTCACTGATAGTTGGTGTGCGGCTGAAACCCACATTCTGGTCAATCTCCTCCTGGATCTTCTTCTTCAGCTGAGGGCCAGAGCAGGGTGGATGTGACCAGCATGCTTAAGCCAGGGAGAAGCATGGGCTTGGAAGAATCCCATTGTCATACCCAAAAGAGCTGGCCAAGACCCTTCTCCCTGAAGGCTCTGCAGCCCAGGCCCTACTTCCAGAAGATGGGGCAGCTCCACCCTAGGGCCAGAGCCAATCACTGCTTGGGTAAGGGGCAAGGCAGCCCAGTCTTCCTGCATAGAAAGCCTGAAGATATTACCTGTCCCTGTTGCTGGGGCCAGAGGCAGGGCTGGCTGGGGTTGAGGGTGGTTGGGAAGACTGGAGGAGGAAGAAGCCCACCTGAGGATGGTGCAGCAGGAAGGCCACAATCCACTTCACCACAGAGGTGGTGGTCTCCACACCAGCCCCAAAGACGTCCCCTACGGTGGTGAGAATGTGTTTATCCGAAAACAGCTTTGAATCCTGGTCTGGGCCAGCATTGTTATTGTCTGAGTTCTTCTTGGCTTGGATCAGTACGTCCAGCATGGTAGTGATAGAGTCACTGTTGAAGTTCTCCTGGTTGGGTAAGGTTGGAAGACTGTGATAAGGAAGGAGCCCCGTCTGCAGCACCCTGCCATCCTTCCCTCCCAGACTGGAGATACAAACTCTTCTTCCACTTGGAAGTGAGGGAGTGGAGTGGGGCTAGGCAGGACCTATGAGCTTGTGGAGGTAGGAGGCAGCACTGGGCTCTCTTTAAATTTAGGGGACAGGTGGGTCCCTTCTAGGATCTTCTTCAATTCCTCACTTTCCCACTTCCATGCATGTTAAGTCAGTTTTTATTGAGCACCTACTGTGTGCCAGGCTCTCTGCTAGGTGCTGGAGATCCTACAGTGTCCAAAATGGGCCCTAGCCTTGCTCTCATGACACTTTCAACCTAACTTGTAATCTCTTCTGCTCCATCACCTACCTTATGTTTTTCAAGGATTTGACTCAGCATTTCATTTCGTATTTTAACGCAATGCCTCATCTTTTCCAGGGTTTTGTTGGGGAAAATCTGGAAAGTAGAAGGAAATGTCAAATCCATTCCTTTTCCATTTTGTTCTCCAATTACCAGAATTCCTCCTGGAGGCAGACACTAGCTTTCTGTCTCTGGAGAGTTCCCACTCCAAACCCAACCTTCAGCCAAAATGGAAGGCAGGATGGGGGCACAGAATGGGACCATCAATGACAACTAGGACAATTCCAAAGAAGGGAGAAGGGAGTGTCTCCACCTCCCCTTCCCCATTCAATCAAACATCAAGCACTGATTGAGGGTCTACTTAATGGACTATGCCATGTGCCCAGCCCTTAGGAGTAAGATAGACTTGAGTCTGAAGCCTTGGGCAAGTTGCTTAACTTCTCAAAGCCTGTATTCTCATCTGTATGGGGGTAATAAAACCTACCTCCAAGGGGAATGCCATGATTAATGCATGTGAGGTGCTTAATACTAGGACATGGCAATTGTGAATATGTAAAGAAATGAGAGCCTTTACCATGAGTATTAAAATGCATGATTAAAAAGATAAACCTATTTATGTAGAGAAGCTGCAAGGTTTTAAGAGTCAGAAGAGGCAGAGGTCACCGTGGCAGAGGTGGTCAGGAAAAAGGTGGGTCTGGAGCTGGGCAGTAAGAAGAAAGAAGAATTGGGGACACTGTCAGGGCCTGCTGGGATCTGAAGGTGGGGCCTGGCCTTCTCCTCACCTTCAACGCAGGGAATATGTCTACCATACAGTCCTGTTTCAGACTGTCCAGGATGCCGTCATTGTAGTTCTGCATGGTCTTCAGCTCGGGATCCCCATTCTTGTAGGAGGAGTTGAAGCAGAACAAGCAGATGACGTTGGTCACCGCCAGGGAGAGAGGCAAGGTCAAGTCTATGCTCTGTCCATTCTGGGTGGCCAGGAAGTCACACAATAAACTGACTTCCTTACATACTGAGGGGAGACAGGGGCGTGAAGGTGGAGAGTTAAGCAACACCCTCACCCCCTCTCTACCAGTTCCCTAGTAGCCAGGGACAGTTAGCAGATGGCCACTAGATGGCAGCAATAGCCAAGAAAACACTAGGTTGAGCCACCCATCACCCTTTCCCCTCCGCAGCCCTTGTCTCTCTCCAGCAGCCCCAGGGGCCAGCCAGGCACTCACTAATCTTCTCCAGCTTCTGGTTGCCGTCCTTGAACAGGGCAAAGGTGGCCAGCACCAGCTTCCGATGCAGCTGCCAGGGGGCACCGTAGTCGGCGAAGGCG